GAGAGAGAGAGAGAGAGAGAGAGAGAGAGAGAGAGAGAGAAAGAGAAAGAGAGAAAATAGGGGGAAACCTGAAAAATATCCATCTCAAAGGATCTGTCGCCGATAAATTGCTGGCACCTAAACTAATACAACAACGCATCATTTAGGGGCTATTTTCCACGAGAATCACTATAATGTTTCACGTGTTTTTTTATAAAATACCATTGTCTCCATTCAATGCACCATGACCTTTTATGCGGCTCATTGAGCATTTCTACTCTTCCACGAATTGATAATCTTTTATACAAACGCCCACATATTGATATATTGAGTGAGTTTTTAGTTTCATTTGTTTATCAATAGAATTGGTGGACGTTGTCACCCATGATTTTTCTTTCTCCCCATATGTCGCCTTTAAAGTTACACATTACAAGCCTATGTCAGGTGGAGTGGATGAGTAGTCTGCTGACATTGCTAAAATTTTCTTCTACTTAATTACCAATAGTGTCTCTTTGCATACAACACCGCTATACAATCAAACGAATTTTCTGCCTTTAGTAGAATGCATTCAACCGAATTATTTGTGTGCTGTTCATTCGAGCCAATCCAAACGGTTGCATTGTTGAAAAAAAAATTGGCCAATAGGCCTTTCAATAATTTTCAATGATTCTCGCTGAATTTTTAGTGAAAAAAAGAAAATTTTCCATTTATTACGGCTATTGATGTTTTCTCAAAAGATGTTCGCTGGCCCGCTGCTCTACAGAAATAACACACTGGATACGTGCTCCCTCAGAATGTATTCTAACATTAAACATTCCGTTGGGGATTTTTGACTATGCGCCAGAAGAGGGAAGCCATCGTCCTCCTGCATCCCAATTTTCTCTAGAGATATTTTTTATTTCACCTGTCGCCTTGCTCAATACATTCAATTTAGTAGCGAGGCACAAAACGGTGATAACGATTCTATATATTTGTTAATTTGATTGTTACAATAATGTACGATAATACGACTATTACATTTGTTCACTCTACATTAGTTATAGTTTTTTTTTTTTACGGTCAATCGATTTGCAATCGTCGGGAATAAGTCGACTTATCTCTCATAGCTCATCTACACAAAAGCGGAATAAGTCCACTGACATAAACCTGGCATATAAGACCGGAAGCTGCAAATATCATTTTTGACTCTCCTGTAAAATCACGATTTATCGACTCATCACCCTTTACCGCTTCGCTACTAAATTGTATTATTTTTTCAGCGACTCACTCAAGGCAAGGGAAATTCAATATCATCACTTGAAAGGGTCGAAAGTCGTATTATCGTAGGTACTCATCCATCCATCCATCTGATATGATATGTATAGCTTATCAACAATGTTCGCTAACGTGGCAAATCAATGCATCTCTCTCAAGATGGATTTTATATCAATTTGAAGAGGCTGATTTTCCCCCAGGAAAAAAACAGTAAAAATATACATGTACTCCTTGCATAAGATTACTGTGTATACGTTTCCATACATGTGGATCAATAGATACCCACTTGCTCCATTAAAATGATTAATGCATCCAATGTGTCAGTTCGAAAGTTGAGCCCAGAAAAATTATTCAAATTCTTGAAAAATTTTCCAATTGTTCCACAATTGTGCTATTCTGATCAACTCTATTTACCATCGGCTTGAAAATTGTTATTGAATTAATGTTCATTGGCATTTTTCCTCGCTCCTATATCGAGCAGCAGAGATTGAAAAAATTTCATAGCTTTGTGTTTTGCTCGATTGCTCGATTGCAAAGCGCTTGCTGTTAATTGCATTTGAAATCATCATACGAAATCATATACCACTCATACCAATATAAATATTAATACTTATTAATTTGGATACAGTCGCGCCTCGAGTACACGACATCCTGCTTTAACTCACCCATTTGCCTATCAAATTTGGATAGTTACGAGAGTTGAGATTAAACTCTGGTAAATTTTCAACTCGTGACACTCCTAATGCGTGAATAACAGTTCCAACAAGTGTGGTAATAGTAATAGTTTGATTCTTGTTTCCAGGAGACGTGGTGTCGACGGTGGTGGAATATATCACAACGTAGTTTATCAACGACAACTAGGAAATTCACTCCAACGCTGAGTCCATTGCTGAGTAGAGAAGCAAGAGAGTTCAAGGAGGCCAGAACCTTCCAGAAGATAACAAAGGAGGCTAAAAGTGCCAGAGAAGTTGAACCCGATAGTTCTACACTGACAGGTGAGCGCCAATAATATTTTCCTCTCTCTCTCTCTCTCTCTCTCTCTCTCACACACACACACACAAATTTCTCATAATGACTATCAGAACAATTCAATTTCAATCGATATTTCCTAATTGTAATCTCCATGATAATAATGAAACTTGAGTGGAATTGCTGTATTCCACCTCGGAAATTCAACAGACAGCTCCAGAGAGAATAATTCTCTTTGAAAACATCAATAATTAACCACAAGCCTGCCAACACAATTTCTTCCCATACTCAATGAAGGGCGGGCATACAGTCAAATTAATCATACTCTAAATATTGTTCCAATCTTATATTCCTTTGTTTATTTTATCACATGTCGTGATGATAAAGGATAATGTATCTCTCCCCATAATATTTACGACCCAGTTGCTTACCCGTAGATCTGTAATAGCTTATTTTCATGGTACATAAAGCCCCCTCTATACGCGTTACTGTATCGTCGTAATAAGGACCTAATAAGTACCTAAGTAAGCCCAGTGGTGGAAAAAAATTTATGCTTTTCCTTCTGTTCATTTGAGAATGAGAAGAAAAAACAAACATGACATGTTGTCAGAAATAGAAAGAATTTAGCAAGTCTATCATCGATTCCCTCATATGCCAGTGGTTGTGGTTTTTATGATACCTTCCGACCTCTGTAGACTTGGCCCGTTGTTCACAGAACTCTGTGATTGCACCGGGTGGAGTGAAATGGCACACGCGAAAGGGATTTACTTGCCCGACATGAAAAGGCTATTGCACCAAGGAAAATTGAATTTTTTTAACCCCAATGGAACGAAAAAAAAAACCTTCAGAAGAACAGTAGCTTTTATTGTTCATGCTTGGGTTAAATGTAATTAAATTACATTTCATATATGACTATCAACTATCGGTGCCTTAAGAAGTTTGATTTATCTATTATACAGAAACATTTAGTTATCAGTACCATTGAGACTATCCTCTAAAACTTCAAACTCTTCAAATTCCATTTTTCCAAAATCCGTTTGATTCTTCTTCCAATCGCACTCATTAATCTGCCACTTTGTCAAAGCACTTGCGAATTTGTTAGCAATATTTGATTTTCCATCATGAATTTGTCCAAGTTGAAAATTCGCTTTGAAAAATCCACCGTTATTACGATTATCATCTTTTTTTGGTTCTAAACCTATCACAACCGGGGGTTCACGTTTTGTAATACTTTTACTGATAATTTCCACTCTATCATCCTCGAATGGTAAGCTATTTGGAGTTGTAATTTCAATACTCGGCGACTCAGCAATAGTGCAACCCGTCAGGTCGGAATTTCGTATTAATTTGCCAGTGCTGCTATTATTATTCTCCCTCTGTTGTTTAGCCTCCAACCTGGATCTCCTCTCAACAACCCTTCCGGTAAGTTCAAGCCTACTGTCGCAAGAGTTGCTCTTGACGAGACGAAACTTGACATAATCGTCGAGTCTGAGGCTTGGCTTGTTCCTCTTGAGGATTTTGCTTTTGCAACTGGTGGGTGAAATAAGTGGCCCATTGCAGGTATTGACAACTTTTCCCCCGTAGTAAGTGACAGATGTTCCACATTCTCGTATTTTCTTCAATACATCTGGCAGGATGGACACATAGTGGCCATCCTCCCGCTCAGTATTATTACGCATTGCCTCATCATCTCGACAATCAATATCTTCATCCTCCGAACAAGTACACTGAGCTCCACTGCCAGGATCCGTATCAGGATAATCACTCGACACTCCTGAACTCACACTGCCAGCATCCCAATTAGTCAGATGATGCCGGCGATTAATTTGCTCTCGATAGTTTTTAATTTTATTCCTGGCGCAGCCAGGAACATCACTAGCTGATGTATCTCCACTTGTTGCTTCAAATGACTGTGCAATTATTCTTGTCTTAGATTCATTACTCCTTGTAACGTTACCAAGAGCGTCTTTACCTGTCTGAATAGTAGTTGAGGATGTTCTGTCGAGACCCTCAAATAGACGCATCAGATCCTTCGCCCTGCTTGACGATCGTGATCTTAAAAGTTGGGTGGGAGGATTATGGATTACTAAAGATTATTTACATAAGCCCAATAGGGAAAATAGTGTGGTATTAATTTTTACCTTGAAATCTCCAAGTTGTTGACATTGACGTCATCACACATATTGCTAAGATCTTTCATGCTGACACTCTTTCGGCCCTTACAATTGGCTTGATTTGATGTACTCTTTGGGAACAATGTCGCTTCAAATATTCTCCTTACGTTTCGCACAGTATCAGGATCTGGCAGTTCCTCATCGATTAACTCACGATTAACCCTGTTGACCGAACTAATTATTTAACGATAACAAGATAGTTCATCGGTGCTTCATTGATGACACGTCATTAATGGCTTACCTTATCGGGTGATAGAAGAAGTGTTTTCTCAATGATGATTGTTTCGAAATATTTTGAGAGTCTTTATTTTTAGCTGTTGTTTCTGAATTATTACCACTCTCATTTTCTGACTTCTTCTCACTTGTATTCGTCTTTCCTTTGCCAACCGTAGAGGATGATTTTATCTCAATATGCTCGGCTCGTACAGGTTCGATGATTACGACATTGTTATCGAGCAACAATTCTTGGAATGAATAGTCTCGTAGATATTGCATAAGTCCCTCGTATCCAACGTCTCCTTTATGCGGTACATTTCCGTATATATTTTTCCCAAATAATCGTGACTTGACAATCTTATAACGCACATGATCAAATTCCGCGGCATCTGTATCCTGACACTCGAGAGATTTAACACAACTTCGTGATCTTGTAAGATTGGTGCAAATTTTGCTACCTGCTTTATTATTTTTATCCTCCATTTGCATAGACAACTGTTCCTCGCTAGGTTTCTTGCTGAAAGGTACTATATCCTCAGTGACATCTACACCGTCGTCGTCGTCGTCCTCGTCGTCGTCGTCGTCGTCGTCGTCGTCGTCGTCTATAGATCTTCGTCTTGTGTCACTACCGCAGTCAGATCCAAGACCTAGATCAGAACTCTCAGATGGTGCTTCAAATCTCAGGCTTCTGCATGCTTTTCCAATCATGCTTGAGGTTTCTTTCACAATCTTATCAAATCTACTCTCTGGTTTTGATACCTCTTTCTCAGTGAATTTAGATTTAAACAAGTTGCATGCTTCACCGATTTTACATTCCTGTAATGATGAAAATTTAAAGAAAAAAACAAATTAATATTTCAAATTTCAAGCGAATAATTCTAATTTACAATGATTGTAAGAAAAAACTTTACTTGTTTGTCATTTCCATTCTTCTGTTTCACATTTTCATCTACAATATCTTGCTCCATATGATGGTTGTTTCTTTTAACATTCGTCTCCTGCCTCGCGACATCATCAATCTCAATGACAGTAGGTCCCCAATTTCTCTTTTTCGTCACCTCGCTGTCAATAATTTTCAAGACCTGTGGACGCCTAGACATGTCCTCAATCTCCTCACTATCGGATATCCACAGAGATTTGGAATCCTCAGCCTCTTCAACCGTTCCCCCAGGTATATTGCCCTCGTTCCCATCAACAATTACACTTGTTGAAGTATTTTTTTCCTCGCTCTCCGAATGATTTTTCTCAGAAGAAATACGGGTGTCCACAGGCTGCTTTCCAAATAAATTGTTATTGCATTCGTCCTCAATATTTTTCCTCTCTAGGCTCTTGGATTGCTGCTCGACCTCGTCCTTGGCAGTGTCGAAAGACTCACGATGGGAATTTGTCTCCCACACGCTTCTACCAGATGACGAAAGAAAACTTTTCCAGGACTCCTCGTCCGTCGGGCTCTTTTCAAAGATTTTCTCATCAACCGAATGACTCCTATATTTTTCCTCATCAGTCACATTGCTGCCAATTTGCAATGAGTTATCCTGATTGTCATCAGAGAACTCGGAAACCTGTAGTAATTGTAGATTCAAATAAAAGAAAAGAAAAGAGAAGAAAAGAATTTCACAAGAATTAAATAAGATGAATAATAATAACCTGTAGTATTCTCGGTGTTTGCCTTGGTTCCGATTCTACACCATTGATTGATTCACCATCAGACTCACTAGACGTCTCGTTCCCCTTCGTACCACCACCACCCACCAGTTTCACCCTGTTTGAAGGTGTAAAATTGCTGTTCCTGGTATCTGATTCGTCAAACTCCAGCCGTACCTTTGACAGAGGCAGTAAATTCAGGACATCAAAGTACTCGAGCTCTCCGTCCTCTCCATCCTCGAATAAAATACTATCTAAGCTACGATGTTCCTTCCGCTTGCGCTTCACCTATGTTAATTACATACTCTCCCATATTATCCACAAAATGAATAGATGCATAGTTTATCATCATTAAAATATCATGTATTAGACACTAATGGCTAATGTGCGCAATGCGTTATATTGTGTATTATATGTATTCAGCAAACTCGGTAGAATGTAGATATTATAGCCATAAAGTAAGAGAACCAGGTCAGACTCAGGGCCACCTGAATTTAATTTAAGGAAAGAGCATTAATATGTGTGTGTGTCTGTCTTTTTGTGGCTCAGCAAGAGCCAACAGCCATTCATAAGTTGCCAACTTTTGTCCACGAAAATGCTCAACCAATTCTGGGATAACTTTTTTGGGAGCTATAAGAAATTTGATGAAATATTCATGTTGCTATAAAATTTAAATTCACAAATGCACATTAGGGACTCGACAGAGGAGGGCAATGTCCAGGGAAACACTATCATCAGAAATATTTACCTGCGTGTATATATCTCGTTGCCCTTCATTAAGAGCAGGCCAGTCGTCCTCAACAATGTCAACAAGACCGCTGACAGTGTCGAGGTCTTGATGGCTCCGATATCGTCTCGGTGTTCTCGGCCAATCGAGTATATTTAATCTATCGGGTTCCTCACGATTTGTAAGTCTAGCACAATAAGGAGGCTCTTGCAAGTAGGGCAGTGTCGATGGTCTCGAGTGAAGATCGCAGATCGAGTGAGAGTGATAGGGCCTCACCTCGTGGTACCCGTCGTAAGTATCCGAAAGATGCTGCTGACTCTTGGATAATCTTTGGACAAATTAATAAAAATGGCGTTCATCAGAAAAAATCATCAATTTAATTCTCTCGCAAGAATTGTTTAATTACCTGTCCTTGAGTGAGTTCCTGTCAATAAGTTTGGCCCGAGGAATCAGCTGAGGTCTCCTCGGCACATCCAAGGTCAGTTCGCCCACTGAAAAATTACGATTCACCTCTCGATCGTTTCTACTGTCCTCGGATATCACCGCCAAACTCCGCGTTCTCTTCAACAATTTACGTCGGCCCTGGCTGTTTTGTTCACTCTGCGGCTCATATCGAGGGATCTCCCTGGGATTGAAGACAAAAACAAGAAAAAAACAAGATTCACATCCTCATAATAATACGAGAAATCAAATGATAGAAAATGTTGGCTAATCTTGATGGGGCTACTCGAATACATTCGTCTGTTGCGCAACGAAAAACGACAATGAATTGCCTGGTGCCTTTTTACGCGTCACGGTTTCACTCTCATGTGTCCAACAAATGCGGTAATAAAAAAAAAATTCAAGTCTATCCAAGGTTTTTAGAAAAAATCTCGTATTCTGAATTCAGCGTCGATTCAATCCTTGAAAAAGTAGAGCTGAACCAGATTCAAATGGTAGGAAAAAATTGGATACTTGTGCTACATTCTTGGATGAATTGTCGAAAGAAGAGGATAATATTAGTTGTGAAAAACTAAGTCGGGAAATGACGTGTATACAAATGAAAAAAAAAAGAAGGAAATCAAGTCAAGTGAGGTAATTGAAGTTAGTTAGCCCTCGGAAAGAGAACTCAATCATTCAGACCAAGTCAACTGTAAGTTAATTTATCCGTAATAAAATTGTCGTTTCGGAGATAAATAACGTTTTATTTATTGCCTCTACTGTATCAATTCCCGAGTAATACAAGAGAGGGAGACAAAAACAATAAGACTAATTGAGATGTTGAGAAGGGACCTCTTAATGCCATACATAACAAAGTACCATAGAAGGCAAATGCCCCAGTGCATCCGTTCTCAAGACAATGTATTATGTAATTTATATCGCATAAGACTCTTGGACCTTTTTTACGTTTGTTAAATTTTCATTATTGGACAAATTATCTTGTGAAATTTTCTATGCAATATACGGTTGATAAACAAGGATATAAAAAAGATCATTTCTTATTTGAGGGGTGAAACAACCCTTAAGAAACAATGGATTTCTCCTCATCTTTTTTTTATATGGATAAGTCAATAAGATATAAGATATGAAAACAAGAGCTGGAAAATTTGACGTTGTGAAAGAACCCTGAAGCATTATAAACTCAGTTGCAGAAGCCTGAATCCAACTTGCTCGACTTACTGCGAAATTCATTCACTTATAGTGAGACTGCACTGAAAAACAAGAGGATTGAACAAAGTATACACGCCCCACAAAAAAGACCCCGAGTTTTTCGCTCGCCCAGTACCATGAAGGAAAAAACAATTACACGGAAAAAAGTGGTTGAAAGGAAAATACTCGAATGAATTTTTGAAAATATCATGGAAATGAAATAGGTCAACAGCAATTGCTGGACCTCCTCCTATCAATCACTCAATTCAAAGCACAAGTGCTCTGATCAATCGATTCATCCGAATCGAATGTCCACCAATGAATAGGGGGCAAAAAACACATTAGTACGAGGTATTGTATTAGTGTATATGCACGGCAACATATCCCGTTGAATTTCCGGCTCGATGAGAGCTAGCCTCTCAACCCTTCACATCCCCGAGTGGTTGGCATTCTCACGTATAGAAACCTGGCATGAATATCCTATGACCCAACGGACAGGAAGTAGTTCCGCAGTTTGAATTCAACAGCCAGAGTGTCGTAATACATTGAAATGAATATCGATTTTTCCTTGTGCTGTTAAAAATAATGAAATGAGAATGACCAAGTAATAAATCAAATTAATGAAATATCGGCTGTGCGATTTACGGCAAGGGGTATCTTCGAACCACTTTTATAATCAAGTGGAGTCTGCTAATTAATGAACGCTATTTTGTGGAACTACATTTCATGGAACCAAGTGCCTTACATGTTTTACGATTCTGGAACGTAAAACAACTAGAGATTGAGAGAGAGGCTACACTTATGACCCACAAAACACTATAGGAAATCCCTCTTATTCTTCTACACTTTTTCCATGGCATTTTGTCTCTCATAAAAAAATTTGCGACGAGAAACCTTTCAAAATAATATCAAAGTGAATCGACAAAAGACAGAGAGAAAAACGGTCAACAGGAGAGAACAAATCAAATATATCACTCACCTTGTGAAAATGGAAATCCATGGAAACCAACCTACAGCCACAATTTTTCACTCTTCAACTAATTTCCGCCGAGAAAGGCTGAAAAATTATAATTTTTAGAGGAAAGTTGAGTTGAATCGATGGAAACAAAGCCGGCAGAAGGATAACTTGGTGGCACACCTGTTCACAACAGAGTGCACTGAGGATAGCACGCGGGTTGTTCCTGTTATGTCCCCCAGTAAGCACTCGTCTGTAAGATACGCGACCAACTACTCTATTGGAGAAGGGGGGAGCCCAAGTAGTATCATGTTAAATTCACTGTGTGCATGTGACATCATGCGAATGTCTCGTGATAAAGTCATCACTCCTGACAAGGGATGTGGAATCAAGAATGATCAGAATCAATAAGTGATATTTGAATATTGATGAATAATTAGAGAGAAGCATATCACGAAGAGTGCAACTTTGATTCCTCCAAGGGCCGCAAGGTTCAATTTCAAGGTTGTACCAGCATCACTCTCCCGAAAGGAATTATCATCGAGTCTCCGAAAAAAAGTAATCATAGTGTAGCTATCTAATTAAGATGGAGAGAGAGTCCAAGTAGAGTGTGTGTCAACGTGTGTACTTGCAATTTTCTTTTCACTTCACTTCATTTCCCCCCTCTATATTCTAATTCAAATTGACAATAAACGGCGGTTTTTGCTGGGAAACGGAATTCATTAATATACATAACAGAGCTATTCACCAGCAAATGAATTTCTCGTGTCTTCGGATCTCCTTGCACTTTATCCCTTTAACACAACCCGCAATTTTATAAAAAAAAGCCGTATCACCGCTTATTATGCATTTTTTATTTTTATTTCTTTGTCCCAGTAGTGAAAAAATGCCGTAGCGAGAAGAGAGTGAACAAACGTGAAAGTATTAAACGTAAGTTTTTCATCCAGAGGGAGCATACCCACCACCCATATTTTTTTCCATGTTGTTTGCATTTTCAGAAATAACAAGTATAACTTTCACATTATTATTTTTAAATGTACCCAGACGGTTTGTTTGTTTGCTCAAGCACATGTCATTTAATTTTTAACTCTCGTATTTACCATCATGACGTTTAAATGTTAATTTTTATTCATCTCGTGAATTTTTATATAAAAAATTGCGCTTTCACGTGAACCGCCGTTCGTCATCGAGTCCAGAGAATAACTGGTGCACAAAAAAAATGTGAATTTTGTAGGTAAAAAATTATAAGGGCGAGGGTTTATTCTGAATTATCACAGGTGTTGTCCACTTGCGACCACACATGAAGAACAAGGGAGTGCATTTTACCGGGGATTGCTCGACGCCAGGTGAGCTTCAGTGATTCATGAATTTCCTGTCTCAACGAATACTATAAATCATTCATATCGCAATATATTTTCACAATCTCTGAATACAGCTTATTGTTAAAAATAATAAAATCCAAGAGCAAATATATATTCAGCGTGACTCTAATTATCAAATCACCGTGAATTTTACAGCAAAGTAATAAACTTTAATAACTTCACTAAAACAAGCGAAATACTCTTGTAAACATTGTACACGTCAGCAGGGATGCACGACGTTGAGCATATTACATGGGCTTTACCCTCCATGCATTATTTCCAATTTTCACCTACTGTCGAAACAGTAGGTTAATATGCATTATATGTATTTATTTATGACGAAACATGAACAATGCATGGAATTTTTCACGTTATCGGAAATATCCTGTGTGATGCAATCTATCTTGATTTACTTATTTATTTATTTATTTATTCAAAGAAAATAATGCAATTATTATTTCGAAATAGTTTATGAGTATCACGTTTTCAGGATATTTCATAAACTTGAAAATTCCTCCTTCCGTATATTTAAATTCCATTTAAACTCGGCGCTTGTAGAGCACATTTCACGTTACGATGAACCCTGGAATTTCATGAACTCTCGGCAAACGTTGAATTTAAACACCGCCAACCATTCGTCATGGATTGCCGCTCGTGAAAGTGAAATATAGATGCGTGTATCTAAAATTCATTCCTGTCATTCCTGTGTTTATTATATTTTCTTTTCCACCACCTCTCGCTAGTAGATTGGTTGATTCGCAAAAATTAAAATCCATGTCATCCGGCAATTTATTTCCAATTGTAATTTTCATTATATATAAAACTATGCCATCTCGCTCGTTATCGTCATTGCTAGTCTGTCATTATGCGAGTGCAACAGTAGCAATTAAATTACGCCAATAAAAAACAAGAATAAATTAATCTTGGAAAGTTTGATGATATTATTTCTAAATCACGATATTTTCTAGCGTGACACATCAAGAAGGAGGTTTATTGTTTCATTTTAATCCGTTGACAATAGCACACTGAAAACTTGGATGATGGTGATGGACATTAGACAATGCAGAAAACACAAACAAATACGAGTGAGAATAGAAAATTTAGTGTTTTTAGTGTTTTTCCGTGGACAATTCTGTGCAATATGCTTTTTTCTCCCGAACTATTATATTTCAACAATTCCATATAGGAAGGTAGACGAAACGATGGGAATAATGGGAATAATTGAGAAAATGCCACGGGAAACATTGCAATCCAATAAATAATGGAAATATTCATGGAAATGGAAATATTATACAGTACCTCTCAGCAAATTCCATAGTGACTTGAGAGTAAACAATTTTAACCGAAAACATGGTCAATATTCATTTGGAAAAAGCACAAAAATATGAAAACCGAAAGTAACAACTAATAGAATAGAACCGCATATAATGCCGACAAGCGAGCACTCGTAAACACACTGAAATCGAAAAAGACAGCTAGAATTTTACTCATCCCCTCTCATCAGAAAGTGAATAAGTAAAGTGGTGGACACGTGAAAAGCATCACGATTCATTCGTCCAACAAAGTCATTGTTTTCATTCCCCCGTGTAGTCCCCGTGGTATGCATAATCCCATCCCATATAATAAAGAGAATAGGATCGAGCATGGTTAAACCAACGTGATTACGTTGGTCTGTGTACATGTACACGGATGTCCGGCGTTCCGCCACTACACCTCGTTCTCATTGTGGCCTTTCCTTCTGTTCCGCCGCACACCTTACCTCTCCCACTATTTTTTCAATTCCCTACATGCTGCACGCGGCACGCTCAAGGGATAATTAAATCAAACAGCAAAGTCACAACACTATTAATTATTGGAGAAATTCAATAGCATTCATTGCGGATCCAAACAAACAAACAAACAAAAACATGAAACACAGAGTTGGCGAGCATGGCACACTCCTTGATCAAGGTCACTAGGTGATTAGCAGTTCATTGCGAACATCTGCATCTGCATATTCATTCATATGGTGTATCAGTTCTCATTATACATCCTCAAAATATTGTCCATTATTATTCAAACTCATGTTATGGCGATTATCATGAATTTCTTATTATTATCCATCTTTTTTTTTAATGAAGAAGGAATTTTCATGTTTACAATTAACTGATGGAAGGTGCAGGAGCTAATTTGCGCAGGAAAAAAAAGGACAATGATCAATTAATATAATTTATTTCACAACTCACCATTTTTTTCTTTTTTACTATTAACGAATGGATTTTTACTCATCCGATATTTTTCATACATCTCTTGTACATCACTGAACAATCGACAGGAGAAAATAATCTAGGCGTTATACGCGGGAAGTGGAGTATCGTGAATGCTCATAATTTCTTCACGTGAAATGAGCATTTGGAGCATGAATCACGTGCTAATAATCGTTTCTTGACCATTGCAACAGTTGCAGCAATTAGCCATTGGTCATTATCTCATCAAGAGCCACCGTGCCAGAAAGCAAATGATCATTTTTTTTAAATATTTGAGAAAAAAATTTCTCTTGTTTTAAAAAAATTAGTCAATGGACTTTCTATGGAGAGTCTATAAATTACCGTAGTACTAATTCTTCTGCTTTACGACCTGCCAATTATTAAAGGTTGCTAATGAAATCCTATTTTCAGTTGATTTTCGGAAAAGAATTTTGAAGACACAAACGTACCGCCAAAACTAGTGTTCCTCCGGGGAGGAATACTGCTCGATTCTCAAAGACTAACACGAGACGTCAAGTCACGAAGAAAAAATAAATAATATCAATAAATTAATTATTTTTCTTTGTTTATTTATACTGACCTTTGGCCCCTCTGGCGTTGTCTCTCATGCATCCACAATGCATCGCCAAGATTATGTGCACCACTCTGAACACCACCCATAATTGATTAGTGTCAGGGGGAGAATAAAATGGAAACCCCGAAGCTCGTTATCAATTATAAATCGTCAATGTACAATCAATCTCATACAGATCCGTGCAAATTGTTGAAATTGAAAATGGAATTTGCATCAAGTGTCATTACTCGATAAAGGCACCCCTATTTCTCCAATTCACTGTTTCATCACCAGATGGCGAAAGGCCATTTTTCGTTCCGCATGTGCCGAGTTATTTTGATGTTTTAAGGGAGTCAATTGTCCATTCAACTTTAGCGAAATTGAGTTTTCCTACGTTGAGTTTTTCCAGAAAGGGTCTTGGCTTCACGGCTTAGACCCACAAATATTAAAAACATAAAAAAATTACTAAAAAGACGTTTTTTTTTCTTTTGATTTTCTTCAATTATCATGAGAAATATTCAGTCACTATTGAATTGAATTTTCATAAAACACACACACATACATACATTAGTACATAATATTAGCACAAATAAAATATTCCCATTCCGTATGAGATGCCTCTCCGGTAAACCATGTTTACTTATTAATTGTGCACAGTCTCGCAGTAAACTGATGGCATGTAAGGCGAAAGAGGCTTGCGTGAATTTTCGCAAAGGTTGGTTAAGTATCAAGTGGCGGGGGAGAGCTTAGCTATTGCGGGACGACTTGTTAGCTACCACAGGCGGCGGCAGTAGATTGTTCCACCATCATGCACCTGGCTACAGGTGCTTGCAGTTTCCACATTTTCCGTCGATACGACTTGTCGATTAAGTGATTTCACTAATCGATTAATTTTTTTCCTCCCCTGCCAGTCAACTAAATTCAATGATTTAATCCTCGAATGCAATTGGCCTAATTATGTTGTACATAATTAATAACGAATGTTAAATAATAGATTTGATGATGTGATGAGAAGTGATGAGGGTTTATTATCAATTCCCGAAAAGGAGGTATTAGTGTTGTTAAAAGAATGGAAAATTTTACAAGAAATTGAAAAATTGAAATTTGGGGCCACGGATTAATTTCGTGCCCCTAACAAGTGTCCCTTTGTCTTTATCTGCCTTCCCTCCTCCACGGTCTCTATAGTTGGTTCCGTTCTGCTTACTCCCTCAAAAGACTTCCACCTCAACTATTTTTATTCATGTTTTAATACGCTTTTGCCTCCTGTGCATGTTGTTTCATTCCGTCTCCACACTCTGATACCTCCTCCTGCATACCCAACGGCCGTATTTAATCAGGTTATACGGACTCAACTCTCGATCGCAATTATTATAGCTAAATGTATCACGGAAGGTGCATTAACTGTTTTCATCCATTAGCATGCAATTTTTAACTTGCTATTATTATTATTATTGTTATTATTTCCATTTTTCAGAAGTGAGCGTCGATTTCCATCGAGGATTTCCAAGGATCACAGTGCCCCTCCCTTCGAGAAAAGAAAGATGTATTTTTACCCTCAAACCAATTACCCATACAGTTGGAGATTTTCTCAATATGCTTAAATCCGAGGATCGTGGAATTGATCGTGCATCAATCACGACCATTGATGGAACAAGAATAGGAGGTAGTAATACTATAGAATCACTTCTAGATGCTGACTTTAAGTTGATCATCAATGACGCAATATACGACGTTACACCACCGGCTCAGGAGAATTATTCAATGGTAAATGTTGCATGCAATTTATCCAATCAATCAGTCAAATTATTCAATTATTATTTTCCATGTTACATTACAGGAGACCATTGACAAGTTATCGGACGTTCAGATGACGGTGTGTCAGCTCTACGAGGCCCTCCACTGCCAAGAGTACAACTCAATCCTAGAGAGGGAAACAGTCGCAGAGTTGGAGCAAGTCATGCTTGAGTTGGAGCCGCTAGAAGCGGTGAGTTGATTACAATTTTTCATGTTATTTTTTCGTTAAAAAATTAACGAGTTCCAGTCAATGAAAAAAAAAAAAAACAAAAAAAGAAAAAAAAAAAAAAAAGAAAAAAAAAAAAAAAAGAAAAAAAAAAAAAAAAGAAAAAAAAAAAAAAAAGAAAAAAAAAAAAAAAAGAAAAAAAAAAAAAAAAGAAAAAAAAAAAAAAAAGAAAAAAAAAAAAAAAAGAAAAAAAAAAAAAAAAGAAAAAAAAAAAAAAAAGAAAAAAAAAAAAAAAAGAAAAAAAAAAAAAAAAGAAAAAAAAAAAAAAAAGAAAAAAAAAAAAAAAAGAAAAAAAAAAAAAAAAGAAAAAAAAAAAAAAAAGAAAAAAAAAAAAAAAAGAAAAAAAAAAAAAAAAGAAAAAAAAAAAAAAAAGAAAAAAAAAAAAAAAAGAAAAAAAAAAAAAAAAGAAAAAAAAAAAAAAAAGAAAAAAAAAAAAAAAAGAAAAAAAAAAAAAAAAGAAAAAAAAAAAAAAAAGAAAAAAAAAAAAAAAAGAAAAAAAAAAAAAAAAGAAAAAAAAAAAAAAAAGAAAAAAAAAAAAAAAAGAAAAAAAAAAAAAAAAGAAAAAAAAAAAAAAAAGAAAAAAAAAAAAAAAAGAAAAAAAAAAAAAAAAGAAAAAAAAAAAAAAAAGAAAAAAAAAAAAAAAAGAAAAAAAAAAAAAAAAGAAAAAAAAAAAAAAAAGAAAAAAAAAAAAAAAACAGAAACAGAAACAAAAAAAATTGTACGAAAATTACAGTTTGTACATTGATTCTTTAAAATTTCCCTGTAACTATAAAGTTACAAAAAATATTGAAAAGTTATAACTTTTAATACTTGCCACCAAGTAGACATTATTGTTTGACGCCCATCTAATTACGTGAAATGGTCATATTCAATTTTCTCCTTTTTTATCATAGAAAAAGCTGGAACTGGAAATAACCTCAGAGAGGCGTGCCAATTTACACGCATTATTTGGTCTAATGGCGATGGGGATTCAAGTAGGTATCCTAGCCCGATTAACGTGGTGGGAATATTCTTGGGATATTATGGAGCCTGTGACCTACTTTGTCACATACGTAACCGGTATGGGATGCTATATCTATTTCATTATGACAAGACAGGTAATTGGATGCTTGAAAATTTAATGATATTATAAAGCCATCATTTATAACAATAGTTGGCTTGGAGAGCCGCCAATGTTAGGCCAATAGTCTTTCTCATAAGTAAGAATTGCTATTTGTTCCCAGGAATTCATGCTACCTGACGTGATGAATCGAAGGTATCTACTGGTATTCCACAAACGTGCTAAAGCCATTGGCCTAGATCTCAACATTTACAATCAACTGCGAGAGAGAGCATATGAACTCGAGACAACGTTGAAAATAATACGTGGACCACTGTGGAATCATAAGCACAAAATTGAACAGAAAATACGAGAGAGAGCAAGATCGTCAAGTTGTAGCTCAAGCTCAAGCTCAAGCTCAAGCTCGGAATCAAGGTCAAGATCAAGATCACCTCATCCAAATTCACATTCACACAAAAGTCATAAAAATGACGAGAAAGTACATAACAAAGCGGACAAGTCATGAATTGAATTGTCAGTGTGACAAATGCTCAATAGAGTGTAGAGTAAATTTATTATTAATAATACATCGAAATCAATGGAGAACTTTTCCTTTGAGGCAAACAAGTCATTGACATTATTCTCATATTGTCAGTGTCAATTATCTCATATCTGCAAAATGAATATTTATCTTTGCCAATGTTTGTTTATCCAGCGGAGTCTTGATTATGGGACAGTGTTGCAAAGGGGCCATATTCTGTTGGATTATAATTAATTACAAATTAATGAAACAGCTCACTTATATTTTTCAATTACAATAATACAAATGTGCCAACAATGTTCGTGGCTTCTAGTCGACTCACCACGTTACCTCTCTGCATCAAAACATCATTATAATCATCAGTCTCTCAGTAACCCATAAACTTCCATTATCATTCGTTTTTGGGTCACAGTAGCCGTTGGGCAGATTAAGATAAAAATTTTAAAAATCTATTTTATACGCTTGAAAAATTGGTCGGCTCGCTTCTTAAGATTACCTTGAATCTTCAACTATATTTTAAAAGATAGTACATGGCTGTTGAAACCTAGGGAATTATAATGAAAAAATCATTATAAATTCATAGAGAATTAATCGTTGAAAGTAGCCCTTGTCATTCTTCAAAACCGTTCAAACAATGAAAATCTTTCGCTTTATACACCATATATTTCTCACCTGGCCATCCGTCCGCCATGAATGCTTGAAAAAAATTGCAACACTTATACCACTCTCTGGCACTCTTCAACTAATACAACTATTTAGTAGTTGTTCAATAGCCGCCAAATTAAATTGTAATAGGAATAATAATGTGAGAGATTGGAGATACAATTAATTGGACAAGTTGATTTACCTACTGCACATTTTAAACTAGAACTAGAAGAACAATTTTGCAACTTTTTATAGAGAATCTCTTTCATGGCTATGCTATAACTGGCACCAATTCCACATTTTAAGAAATGTTGAAGTCAAAGAAAATGTCTGTATTGGCGATGATCAAGTTGTAATTATTTTTTTCTCTCTATATTTGATGGCTAAAATAGGGGAGGCCCACTTGAGGTGGGTATTTTTTTTTTTTCTCTTAAATATCAAACCACTTAAATATCCACCTCAATAAACTCAGGAATAAATTAATCATCAATTAATCTCAAACTGTATTCTCTTCAAGGAAAAGAAAAGAACAATTGGATAAATGTTATTTTTATTTGTCTTCAACATTTCTTCACAGAAATCACAGTAAGTGCTATTTATCAACAATGAAAATTAATCAGAAAATACTAATTGCACCAATTACTCTCAAGGCAATAGATTCAATAATAGTTGACGTATAAAAAATGCATCGCACAATCTTACCATAAGGATTGAAGAAAAGGTGAAATTTTTCTCTTCCATTAATCGATAATTTTCAATGAGTTATTTAGGCTATGTAAAAAATAATTTCACTCATCATGAGATTGTTGTTGAAATATTTATTTATATACTGCATTTACCTTGTACTTGTGTGAATTATAAGTTTTATGCTATGCTGTTTCTACTTCGAGCTTGTGAGAATGCTGCCTAAACTCTTGATCGATTGATTATTCTGGAAGTTGTTTATGTACATACACCTAGAAATACGAATAATATGCATATAATAAGAAAAACAAAACAAGTTTGAGATGAGGTGAAAAAATTGGATCAAAAAGATGCTGATTTGTATCGTCTTTTCCTTGTATAAAAATAGAAAAATCATATGCCTACTGTAAAAATTGATAGTTGGGTTTATGTTATATACAATACTCTTCAATGCTCGATTGGAGTTTCTCTGTAAATATAAAAATTCACAATAAAAATACATGAATATTTATTCAATAATAATGTTTCCATTCATGATTTTTAACCTACTTGATTATATTTTTGTGCATTGTTAATGAAACTGTCAAGTAGCCATAATGAGAAGGAGATTGAAGGAATTTATTTAAATTCCCCCACCCAACATTCCGCACACAGTGTCAGCCTCTTATATGTAATAATATATATCACAGTGTTGGGGGGCTTTGAGATTCACACCTTAGCAGAGCAGGGCATAATCCGAGTGTCAACAAATCCAACTGTGGCTGTGACTGATATAAAGCACACACCGGAAATAATAATAATCAAACCTATCTAAATCCACTTTTAAATGATAAAAAGTCACAGTGTTATCTAAACTTTGCAAAATATTTGCAAACAAACAAAATTGATGGAAAAAGTGTATTTTCTCGCAGTTGAGGTTAGAAAGTCCCCCTCACAATCAAACAACAATCAAACAATACCAACCGACCGTCTAAAACAGCTGTGTGTAAGGACAACATCTCAGTAATTTTTTTTTCAAAACAACAAAACAATATAATTGATAATTGAAAAAACGTTATCTCCCTAATGTCTTCGAAAATGGAAATTCTCTGGAAACAAGCACTGAAAACATTCGCCGGACGTGAAAGTAATGGATTCAAGCTCTGCCAGAAGAATTTTGAGAAACTGAGGGCCCTCATGAACGAGATAACAGCGGAAGACGTCAAGGTTGATAAGAAAGTACTGGATTATGTGGAGAATCAGTGTGCACCAATGTGTGTTATCGACATATTCGAGAACCAAGACATCACGATAGCTATTTTTTTGTTGAAGCATGGAGTCACGCTGCCGATGCATGATCATCCTGGAATGCATGGATTGTTGAAGGTAGAAGAAAAAATTTTTTTTTAAAACATTTCATTCATTACAATTGAACATTTTGTCACTATCAACATGTTTAAAATATGGAAAATGTCGATTTCATCACATTATTAATTGTCAGGTGATAAACGGTGCAGTGAAAATCGACAGTTTTACAGTGCAAATAGCTTCGGGTCGAGTAATTCAACTAGACGAGGAACTTACAGCCCTGCAACATGCCTCTCAAATAATCGAGACAAATGACCCAGCCTGTGTTTTAACCCCTCACGACCACAATTTGCACGAAATATCCTGTCTTAATGGGCCTGCAGCCTTTCTGGATATTCTTAGTCCCCCATACGACGTGGACCTTGACGAACGAGAGAGAAGCCTTCGACCCTGCACATTCTTCCGTCAAATCGCCCAAGAACAGTCTAACAGCCTGCCGGCAGATACACCTGTTAGAGTGAAACTCATGGCTGTTGATCAACCGCCACTATTTTACTCCACGAATCTCAAGTATTTGGGTCCACCTCTGAGATGAGATTTTAACTGCATTTTATTACAATAAATTCCCAAAGGATTAATTAAGTTATGAGCAACTTTCACATCTCTTAATACAAGTCGCTGGACTCAATCGCTCTTATATTTTTTTCAACATGGAATACAACTTTTTATTTCAATAAGAGTCGACCGGAAATTTTCATTGAAAATTTCTTATTTATAATATAATATCAATAAGAAAAATCCTGACGAATTAATAATAAAACGTTTGACCAATATTAATTAATATTCATGATAAAATACATTTGAGCTTTGAAAAATAATGAAATTTATGTGCATTCGCTAGAAAATTTTACAATTTATTAATTTACGAGACTAGTAATTAATCGATTGACTTTTTACATTAATTTTAAGCATAATGTGGCAGAGCAGAATGAATCATTCCGCTCAATCCCTCTTACAATTGCTCTCATTGATCTAATATAATAGGATTTTTCATTTGACCAATATAAGGAGAATTTTTATTTAACTAATATTTTTCATGGAACTAAAAAATACTGAGAAATTAATCAAATCTTGGCCGAATATTAATTAATACTCCATGATCAAATACATTTGCGCTCCCAAAAATAATATACTTGGTAGGAATGTCCTAAGAAATCTAACGATACTCGCAGAAGGGAAAGGTTTACCAATTGACAATTGATCAATTTATAAAAATTGTATAAAATTAATCTATTGGATTTTGAGTAACTATTTTATTTGGAGCTGGATGAATTATTTTGCTCCCAAGTCTCATATTTTATCCTCTATTTATTCAACTACTACTAGAGAACATTTCAGATCATCAAATTCAATGGTACAAACAAATATCGTAGAACGATTATGCACCTCCCCCTCCGCAAAATATATAGTTTTGATAGCCTTTTAGAAATGCAAAGATACGAAATATCGAGCGTTAAAGATTCAGATGATTTACAAACTGGGGATGGCAATTCCATGGAAAAATTACCAACATTGTTAATCTATGTATTGACGAGTGAAAAAACAATGGTACTTAATTAATTGTAATAAATGACTGCAATCATGCTGATTGTCTGGAGAACAAATATATTTGGATGCCAATGAAGCTTTCACTCTTCTGTATTATTCTTTCATTCCATTTGCATTTATTATTTTCAATATCTTATTCATTGACAAATTTACATGAAATTTAAGCAGAATTCATTATTCAAAATGGTAAAATAAGGTTACCCACTGCGCATGCCCAAGACCAGATATAGAGACTGCGCAACTCCTCTGTGCACATTCATCATGGCGGCCGGCCATTGGCAGACGGTGGAGGTTTTG